ATATGGAACAAGGGTAGGAAGTCACCACAGGCATGTGAGGAAAGAGAGTACGTTAAAATCTGGAAAGGGTTGGAAGGAGGCAGAAGTATACTTATCCTCAAGTAGGGACATGGGGGCAATTGTCCTCTTTCCTAGACAAAGAAGAGGGGAAGGGAGAGGGTGTGTGTGTGTGTGTGTGTGTGTGTGCACGCGTGTGTGTGTGTGTGTGAGAGAGAGAGAGAGAGAGAGATTGAGAGAGGGAGAGAGAGAGAGAATGCCAGCCCTTTGTTGGCAAATGAACCAACCTTCTCGACCCAGACCTCCAGTTATCATAGTTTTAGGATTTCTTTCTTTGTATCCCCAGCAGTAACTCTACAGAGAAATCCTGATATAATTTAACCCAGCTCAATAAATGTTAGTTGACTGCACCTATAAATGAATCAAGCATTCACGCCAGGCATGGTGGCTCACACCTGTAATCCCAGCACTTTAGGAGGTCAAGGTAGGCGAATCATTTGCGGTCAGGAGTTCAAGACCAGCCTGGCCAATATGGTGAGACCCTGTCTCTACTAAAAATACAAAAACTAGCCAGGTGTGGTGGTGTGCACCTGTAATCTCAGCTATGTGGGAGGCTGAGGTAGGAGAATCACTTAACCCTGGGAGACAGAGGATGCAGTCAGTGAGACTGCACCACTGCACTCTAGTCTGGGCAACAGAGTGAGACTCTGCCTCAAAAAAAAAAAAAAAAAAAAAGAGTTCAGCTTAGTTCAAATCACCAAATGCTCCTTGAGAGATATTTGGATTTCAAGTGTTATGAGTGGGTAGAGCAAAGGGAACCTGGCCAAGTCTGGAGGGCAAGAAAAGTCAGTCCTCAGGAAAGACCGAGCTCTTTCCAATTCTCTTCCCATCTGTTTCATACTTCTGGTCTTAGCACCGCAGTCAATGACACTGAGACCTTTCCCTGGTCATGCTGTCTGATCATCCTGCTTATTTCAGTCAGTGTCGGGCTGCCAGTCTGAACAACCTTGTTTATTGGCTTCCTTGTTTATGGACTGTCTCTCCCAGTAGAAGATAAGCTCAATGAAGGCCAAGACTAATTTATCCTATTGTTCACCACTTAATCCCAGTACAATGTGCCAAATAAATGAAAGAACAAATGAAGTTGTGTCTGAATTGAGATCTGAGATCCTAATGAAGAAATGTTAAGCAGATGAAGGGGGTAGAGAAGCTTGGGGTAGAATGGAGGGAGTTTTCGAGAGGGAAGAGCATGGTGGTTCCTCCTAATCAGCCTGACCTACTGGAATCAGCCAGGGTCTGTCCTTGATTTCTTCTTGCACCTACTCCCAGAAGATCTCATCTACAAATCCCACTATAAGCTGGTAACTCTCACATGTATTTCTCTGGTGTCCACTTCTGTGAACTTTAGGACTGCATTTCTACTGCTTACTTCCCACCACGTCTAGGTTCTCACAGACACCCATGCCGAATGCTGCCCACCTGCCTCCAGTCCCCAGGGTGAGTAGAGCCCGACAGATAAAAATTGTGGACATTTTTCTTTTCTTTTTTCTTTTGAGACAGAGTCTCACTCTGCCACCCAGGCTGGAGTGTAGCAGCATGATCTCAGCTCACTGCAATGTCTGCCTCCTAAGTTCAAGCAATTCTCCCATCTCAGCCTTCTGAGTAGCTGGGACTACAGGCAGGCACCACCATGCCTGGCTAACTTTTATTTATTTTTGTGGAGCTGGGGTCTCACTGTGCTGCCCAGACTGGTCTTGAACTCCTTGGCTCAAGGAATCCTCCTGCCTCAGCCTCCCGAATTGCTGCAACACAGGCACAAGCCACTGTGCCTGACTGTGTCCATTTTTCTTGAGAGACCAGTACATCCCCTTTACATATGTGGAAACCACCAAAATTAAATGATCTACCCAGATCACATAACTTATATTTGTTTATATCTGAGTCAAGGTACCGAAAAGAGGGGGGGACACCTATATTTAGCATATCTGGAGATTAAATTGGCTTTTTTTTTTTTTTGAGTCTCACTCTGTCACCCAGGGTGGAGTGCAGTGGCATGATCTCAGTTCACTGCAACCTCCGCCTCCACGGTTCAGCAATTCTCCTGCCTCAGCCTCCCAAGTAGCTGGGACTACAGGCATCCACCACTATGCCTGGCTAATTTCTTTGTATTTTTAGTAGAGACAGGAGTTTCACTATGTTGGCCAGGCTGGTCTAGAACTCCTGACCTCGTAATCTGCCCACTTTGGCCTCCCAAAGTGCTGAGATTATAGGTGTGAGCCACCGAGCTGGCCTAAATTGGCTTTCTGACTCCAAAGTCTGGGAGCTTTCTACAGCACCATAATGCTGCCCTTAGTTCAGCCTTCATACATTGTGAAAACTGCCTCTACTCTGGTTAGCATTCTTCAGGCTATCTTTTAAAAAGTTCATTTTTAAAATCACTTAATAAGCTTATGTAAAAATGAAACACCTTTGTTATAAAAATGTAGACAACATAGAAAAGTACAAAGAAAAAAATAGACTATTAACCCCACACTTTGTCATCTAGACATAACCATTGTTATCAATTGGTGAACATCAATCTTATAGGGATTATTCTTAAAATTTGCTTCTTCTCTCCTCTGCCTTCCCAAATTGGAGAATATTACCACAATTGATCCAATTGGTTGGGCCAAAACCTGGGACTCATCCACAATCTTTCTCTTTATCTCACTCCCTACACCAACTAGTTACACTGACTCTGTTTGGAAATACACTGGAATCTGACAACTTCATCTTGATTGCTGTCATTATAGTCCAGGTTATCATCTATTTCTTGCTTGGATTAGCCTTCTGAATGTTCTCTCCATTCCATTTTTGCCCCATCAGTTGTATTCTCTACACAGTAGCCAGAGTGTTTTAAAAAACATAAATCAAATTCCTTTCCCATCAAAAATATTTCAGTAATTTCTACCATACTTTGAATTAAAAATTATTGACCAGGTACAGTGGCTCACACCTGTAATCCCAGCACTTTGGGAAGCTGAGGTGGGAGGATCACTTGAGCCCAGCAATTCAAGACCAGCCTGAGATACATAGTGTGATCTCACCTCTACAAAACATTAAAAAAATTAGCCAGGTGTGGTGGTGTGCACTGTAGTCCCAACTATTCGGGAAACCGAGGTGGGAGGATTGTTTGAGCTCTGGAGGCCGAGGCTGCAGTGAGCTATGATTGCACCACTGCACTCTTGCCTAGGAAACAGAGGAAGACTCTGTCTCTAAAATAATAATAATAAAACAAAGTAAAAATAAATTGGGCAGGTCTGTGGCTTGCACCTGTAGTCCGGCTATTTCGGAGGTTGAAGTACAAGGATCCCTTTAGCCCAGAAGTTTCAGGCTGCAGTGAGCTCAGATCATGCCACTACATTCCAGCATGGGTGATAAAGAGAGATTCTGTCTCAAAAATGAAAATACAATAATAAAAAATTCTTATGGTGACCTAAAGACCCCATAAACAACAGTCACAATGTCCTTCTTTCTATTCCTTGAACATATCAAGCTTATTTCTGCCTCAGGTCCTGTGCATTTTCTCCTTCCCCTGCCAGGAATGCTCTTCTCAATGTTTTCATGGCTTTCCCCTTCTCACCCTTTAAGTCCACGCTCAAATACACCTTGAAGTGGCTGGTTCTGACCCCTCCACCTAAACTCGTCCCAGCTGCTACCCTTTATCATTTTCTACCTCTTGATTCAATTATTCTTCATAATATTTACTGTTACCTGAAAGCATTCTCTGTAATTATTCTTTTCTTTTTAATTTTTTGTCTGTATCCTCCACTAAAATGTAAGTTGCATGAAGGCAAGGATTACTGTCTGTTTTACCCACTATTCTGCCCTGATGGTTAGAACAATGCCTGGCCCATACTAGATGCTCAATAAGCATTTGTTGAATAAATAAATTTGCAGATAGAAGGGCAGAGAAATATGAGATCATAGTGTCTATGCCTTTAAAAATAAAAATTATTTTTTTGTTTTTTTGAGACAGAGCTTCACTCATGTGGCCCAGGCTGGAGTGCAATGGCATGATCTCAGCTCAACGCAACCTCCACCACCGGGTTCAAGCAATTCTCCTGCTTCAGCCTCCCAAGTAGCTGGGATTACAGGCATGCACCACCACACCTGGCTAATTTTGTATTTTTAGTAGAGACGGGGTTTCTCCATATTGGTCAGGCTGGTCTAGAACTCCTGACCTCAGGTGATCTGCCCAGTTCGGCCTCCCAAAGTGCTGGGATTACAGGTGTGAGCCACCATGCCCAGCCTAAAAATAAAAATTATTAGATTGAATATTTAACAAGAAAAAGAAGTTGAAACAAAGCTGAAAAAGTTGCTTAGTTTTAGAAAAATGTGTTCAGACTGGGTCCAGGTGCAGTGGCTCCTACCTTTAAACCTTAGAACTTTGGGAGGCCAAGAGTTTGAGACCAGACTGGGCAACAAAACAAGACCCTATCTCTAAAAAAAGATTTACAAAAAAAGTAAGTCTTCACATGGTGAAATAATAGTTGCCAATTAGTGGCTCTTAAGAAAAAGGGCATCGAAATTATTAAAGGATGGTGGGTGCCATGCTTTTATGTTTTCTCAGGCAGACATTTCCTCTTTAGATGGTGTCTATTTAATCCATGCTGTAATAGATTTTTTGTTCATTCATTCATTCATGAAACAAAAATATATTGAATAGTTTACATCTATCTCTGATGTATATGCCAGATAATAAAACAGGCAAGATCCCTGCTTTCATGGCGGGTGTGTGTGTGTGTGTGTGTGTGTGTGTGTGTGTGACAGAGGCAGGAAGAAATCCGGTAAGCACATATACACACATGATCCAGTAAATACATAATGAATAAGATCTTTTCATATTTTATTTATGAAGAAAACAAAACAGTGTGTGGCTAGGGAGGGCTGGGTGGCTGGTTCAGGTTACAGGTCAGAGAGGGCCTGTCTGAGCAAGTGATATTTGACTTGAGACCTAAATGATCAAAGCATTCAGTCAGGTGGATTTCTGGGGACAGAGCCATCCAGGCAGAAGGAAGAGACAGCACATGTGCTCAGAGCAGGGCAGGCCTGGCTCAGCACTAGAAGGCTGCCCAGTGCAGGAGCTCAGAGACCAGGGAGGCCGAGTGTGAGAGGAATGCAAAGAGGTGAGTACACAACTCATTTCCTTGACAAGGAGTTCAGATCTTAACCCTTGAGTAATGGGAATCCACTGGAGGGCATTAAATGGGGGGAATGGCGTGAAATAGGCTCTGTCTTCTCCTAAAACTTGCTTTGTAATCTAATGTCTCCAGATTTATGTGAGGCACATCACTTTTACATTTCAGTATTATAACATTTCTGTGTCTATAATTCTCACTGTTGTTTAGCTTTTATTTTTTGAAATGACAGATTATCGTCATTTTTTTAAAAATGGGCTTTCTTTTTTCTTTTCCCTTCCTTCTCTTCTGTTTCTTTTGAGAAACTAATTTTATTGTTTCCCATAATTAAATATAAAACAGAAAATCTGTAGAGAAGGAGGAAGAGCTCCACAAAATATAATTCAAATATGAAAAAATAAATCCTCATTTTGTGAGACCTTTGCATTTGTCTGGTCTTCAGAGTAAGTCTTGTTCACTGACCAAGCCTGCCATAAAAATTAAGGTTGCCAGTGTCTCTGTCTGCTTTTTTTTTTTTTTTTTTTTTTTTAGAGACAGGGTCTTGCTATGTTGCCCAGGCTTGTCTCAAACTCCTGGGCTCAAGCAATCCCTCATGCCTTGGCCTCCCAAAGTGCTAAGAGTACAAATGTGAGCCACTGTGCCAGGCCTATTGGTTTTCATAGAACCTTTGAGGTCCTTGAGAAAAGCCATTGAAATCAGTGTGTCAAAGAGTCATCTACACTCCTGCGTTCATTGCAGCATTATTCGCAATAGCCAAGATATGGAATCCATCCAAGTGTCTATCAATAGATAAACGGAGAAAGAAAATATGATGTATATCCACAAAGGAATACGACATAGCCTTAAAAGACAGGAAAATCCTGTCATTTGTGACAACATGGATTAACCTGGAGGACACGATGTTAAGTGAAATAAGCCAAGCATAGAAAGATAAATACTGCGTGATCTCATATATAAAATCTAAAAAGTTTGAACTCATAGAAGCAGAAAATAGAATGGTGGTTACCAGGGCTAAGGGTGGGGGAAGGGGGAAAGGGTGATGGCCAAAGGGCACAAAGTGTCAGTTAGAAATAGACTTTAGCCATCTATTGCACAGCACAGTGACTATACTTAATAACAACGTTTTGTGTATTTCAAAATTGCTTAGTCTATTTTAAATATCCTCACCATACAAAAATGGTAAGTGAGTGAAGTGATGGCTATGTTCATTAGTTTGATTTAATTATTCTGCAGTGTACGCTGTGCTGGGCTCTTTGTCATGATTTTGTTTTCTTCTTTTATTTTTCTTCCTGAGCTCATCCAACTCAGCCTGGCCTCCTTTTGATGTCTCGCCATCTCCTCTCTCATCTCTTACTCCTCCTTTAAAGTGTTTCCCCAAGTTAATCATAGTATCTCTGAGTTGGGACTTAGCAGGATTCTTTGTCTGAACTCTCCTGTGGTCTGGAATAATTTCTCTTGCGATGTATTTCCTTTTCTCCTAATCATCTCCACATGCCTCCCTTTCTGGCTATCCCTCATCTTTGAATGAGGGAGTTTCTGTCTGGATCATGCTGTGTTGAAAAACAGGGTAGAGCAGAGTGAGGAATGTGAGTAGGGGTCATCCCCAGCACCAGTTAAGGGTTGTTATCTCAAACACCTCTCACCGTGCTTCTTGGGCTCTCTGCTGTTAGGTCTTTTCTCAGAGACTAGAGTTCAGGACATTGGTGTGGCTTAAGACGACCCGCTTTACTCAGGTGCTCTGTGTTGTCATCTGATGATTCTAGTCCCTCCTCCTTCATCCCCCCTCACTAAGACAGACAGTTTGGAAAGATATAAAATGGTGTGTCAGTCTGGCTGTTCCTTTAGCCACCTCCCTTTTGGTTCTGGCTTCTTGAATGTCTTTCTCTATGGTCTGTAATTCTCCAGGGGTGTTCCCTATCCCCCAACAACCTATGTCTATTAAGTAGATTCAGCTTTAAGTGAAAGAAAGCGCCATATAACTGTAGCTTTTTTTTTTTTTTTTTGAGACGGAGTTTTGCTGTTGTTACCCAGACTGGAGTGCAATAGCACGATCTCGGCTCACTGCAGCCTCTGCCTTCTGGGTTCAAGCAATTCTCCTGCCTCAGCCACCCAAGTAACTGGGACTACAGGCGTGCACCACCATGCCCAGCTAATTTTTGTATTTTCAGTAGAGACGGAGTTTCACCTTGTTGACCACGATGGTCTCGATCTCTTGACCTCGTGATCCACCCACCTTGGCCTCCCAAAGTGCTGGGATTATAGGCGTGAGCCACCGTGCCCGGCCAGCTTTATTTCTTTAGTTGCACCTAATGAAGTTTGGAACCAGGCAGTTCAAGACCATTGCAGTCCAGGCTCCTTTTAGCTTGTTGCTCTGCCAGTATCAACATACATTCACCAACTATCCAAGACAGTTCCAGCCTCATCAGCATGTTCGCATTCCAGCCACCAGCAAGGAGCTCACCTTCTCTTTTACTTTTGAGACAAGGTCTTGCTCCATCACCCAGACTGAAGCATGGTGGCACAATCATAGCTCACTGCATCCTTGAATTCCTGGGCTTAAGTGTTCCTCCTGCCTCAGCCTCCCAAGTAGCTGGAACTACAGGTGCATACCAACATGCCCTGCTAATTTTATAAAATTTTTTGTAGAGATGAGGGCCTCACTACGTTGCCCAGGCTAGCCTCAAACTCCTGGGCTCAAGTGATTCTCCCACCTCAGCCTCCTAAAGTGCTGTTCCTTCCAACTAGTATGAGGATGGGAATTTTTATTTTAAAGAGAAAAGGAGCTAGAATATTTAACATCAAAATTCCCAGCTGGACATGGTGGCTCACTCCAGTAATCCTAGCACTTTAGGAGGCCAAGGCAGGTAGGTCACCTGAGGTCAGGAGTTCAAGACCAGCCTGACCAATATGATGAAACCCCGTCTCTATGAAAAAATACGAAAATTAGCTGGGAGTGGTAGCATGTGCCTGTAATCTCAGCTGTTCAGGAAGCGGAGACAGGAGAATTGCTTGAACCCAAGAGATGGAGGTTGCAGTGAGCTGAGATCACACCATTGTACCACAGCATGGACAACAAGAGTGAAACTCCATCTTGAAAAAAAAAATTCCCATCCTCACACACCTGTTGGAAGGAACATAAAATAGTATGACCAGTTTGGAAAACAGTTCTGGCAATTTCTCAAAATATTAAACATAGAACCATATCATAACCATATCACACAGAAATTTTACTCCTAGGTATATACTAAAGAGAAATGAAAACATATGTGCACATAGGACTTGTACAAATGTTCGTAGCAGCATTATTCAAAATGCGGAATATAATTTAACAACCAAATGACATAAAATAATACGCATGTGACAACATGGATGAACCTCAAACACATTATGCTAAGTGCCAGACACAAAAGACCATTTAGTATATGATTCTGTTTATAGAAAATGTTCAGCATAGGCAAATCTATAGAAACAGAAAGTAAGTTCATGGATGCCCAGGACTGGGACACTGGGGGATTTGGGAGATGGTAGATAAGGGGTGCCAAGTTTCTTTTTGGGATAATAAAAATTACCTGAAAGTGTAGTGATAGTTGCATAACTCTGTGAATATACTAAGAGCCACTGAATTGTACACTTTAAATGGTAGAATTGTGTGGTGTGTGAATTATATCTCAATAAAGCTGTTAAAAAGGGCACACTTTCCACAATTTCACATGCCACTTTCATGCAGCCATGCCTGTGTTTAAGAGAAGCAGATAAATACAGTCCTTATCCCATCTAAAAATCATAGGTTCCATTACAAAAGAGTGAATGATATAGAGCAATGGCCATGTCTGCCCCACCGTTAGTCAGACCTTAGACCTCATCAGTCCACCCACAGAGGATCCTTGATGCGTTTCTCGGAGCATGGCACTTCATCTTAGGGAAATTGATCTCTTTTCCAGAGTCTCTACAAAGATGTGTTGGCTTTGAATCTTTGCGTATTTTGGATTAAAATTCATTTCGTTCACCAGCAGTCATCCTCCTTGATTTTGTTTAACCTTTTCCCTGTTTATTGAAAGTAGGTGTTTCTTTTTTATTTTTTGCACTTCGTTTTCAGTTGGTTTCAGAGTTAGAAGTGAATTCAAAATTCCCCTTTCCCACTATCTTCAACTCGAATCTGCCAGAATAAATATTCTTAAATGTGTTTTTTTTTTTTTTTTTGAAACAAAGTCTCACTCTGTCATCCAGACTGGAGTACAGCGGCACAATCACAGCTCACTGTGGCCTCTACCTCCCAGACTCAATCAATCCACCTGCCTCAGCCTCCCAAGTAGCTGGGGCTATAGGTACACACCACTAGGCCTGGCCAGATTTAAACTTTTTGTAGAGATGGGGCCATACTACGTTGCCCAGGCTGGTATTCAACTAGTCGGTTTAAGGAATCTACCACCTTGGCCTCCCAAAGTGCTGAGATTACAGATGTGACCTATCGTTCCTGGTTTCTTCCTCTAAACAGCCTTGTAAAACCCTTCTGGGATTTCCCATACTTTTTGCATCTAGTTGGTTGTTTTGTTTTGTTTTGTTTTGTTTTTTGTTTTGAGACAGAGTCTCACTCTTTTGCCTAGGCTGAAGTGCAGTGGCACAGTCTTGGCTCACTGCAACCTCTGCCTCCCAGATTCAAGTGATTCTCATGCCTCACCCTCCTGATTAACTGGGACTACAGGTGTGTGCTATCATGCCTGGCTCATTTTGTATTTTTAGTAAGACAGAGGTTTCACCACGTTGGCTCGGCTGGTCTCAAACTCCTGGCCTCAAGTGACCTATCCACCTCGGCCTTCCAAAGGTCTGGGATTACAGGCATGAGCCACCGCACCAGGCATCCCATGCTGGATTTTCAGTGTTCTCTGCAAACGGCTTGCCCCTCCCTCCAGATAAATTCCCCTTAAAACCCACCACCTCTCCCACATCTCTACCACACACTGCTTCAGTCATGTCTCATATTTCAACAAAAGTTCTGCATAAACTGTAGAGTGCCATGCATAGTTTCGCTGTATTTATTATCTTCTTATTGCCTTGGATAACTCCCCATTTGCCTATTTTGTAGGGACTACAAATGCAACCCATTGGAATCTAAATGCAGCATCTCTTCCCCCATAGTTGCTCCTCTTGGGAAATGGCACCACCTATTGCCCAAGTCAAAAACACAGGAGCCATTCTAAATTCTTCCTTCTCACTTTGCAGGATTACTCATTCACTAAGCCCTCGCCGTTTTGTGTTGATACTCATGGCTGCCCCTTGCTTTTCCCCTCTCCTGCCATGGCCTCAGTTCTGCTTTCACTCATTGTTGCCTAGATCTTGGTAACAGCCTCCCATCATCTATCTTCCACACCCTTCCATTGCACACACCACGCAGTCGCCACCATGATCTTTCTTCATTGTAAAGCACACCTTGTCTCTTGCTTGCTCCTTCCTTCCATTGTTTAGAGCGTGTATCACTTCTCCATTCTGCTCAGTTAAGCCCACACTTCCTCACATGGCAAAGGCCCACCAGGCCTTGATGTTTCCTGCCTTCCCAGCATTGCCTGCCCTGCTCCTCTCCAGCACCCCTCCTGCCTCCTAGATAAACCCAACAACATGCAGTCTTTCAAAAGCCTCTCAGTTTTGTAACATCTGCTCTTCCTCCGCTTGGAGGTTAGCTCATCCTATTTGTGTTTTAGAATAAATCCAGGCCTCGTTTTCTCTAATCCTTTCCCATCATTTGCCCTGTGTCTGATTTCAGTGTCCTTCCCTTGTATTTCCATAGAACTCAGCGCATACATCTCTACAAACATTACGTTGTGCTATAATTTTTGGCTTGTGACTTCCTTGATTAAAATATACAGTCCTTAAGGACAGACACCACATCTTATTTGTTTCTGGATTCCCAGTCCCTAGTCTGTAGCTGGCATATAACAGGTATTCATGTTGAAAAGCAATAACAAAGAATAAAGCCTCCTCTGCATTTATATTTTATTGACTTTAGAACAGGGCAGGAAATGACTACATGGAGTTCCAGAAACCTAGGCTCCTCCATGTGCCCCCACTACGTCTCCTTCCAACAGGGCAGTCATTGGTTCAATGACATGTTGACTCAGATTGCCCTCTAGCCAATGGCAGGCACTTATGCTTGGACTCTGAATCTAGTCTGTGTACCAGTGTTGCCTAATTTGCAAATAGCCTGCACCCACCTGTGTAATCCTCTTTGTCAGGAGTGAAGTGGTTCTCTCTGCTTTCGGAAAAAACCTAACGTGATGTGTGTTTACTGATATAACATCAATAAGGATAACAGGGTATTAGAGCGAAGGTTAACTGGAAAAAAGGAGCCTGGCTGTAAGTGATTTGGTCACTTGGGATGGAGGGATTGCCACATATCAGACTTTGAGTAGCCCTATTAACTGGGTTAGTAATGGGCTATGGGTCAACACGTAGCAGGAGCAACTCTATTTCATTGATTCTAAGGCACTCCTTATTTCACCTTTTAATGTCTCTGAAGCTGGAGTGTGTCTTAAAACAGACGACATCTTAAATTCAGGGAAAAAGAAAAATCCAACATGTCAATAGTATGCCAGAAAAATATAATAACAAATTGTAATTGACTGAATAGTGACTAAGCCTGGAATTTCACAAACTGAACTAAACAGAATTGCTTATATAGAATTATAAAGATATATATACTTTATAAATATATATATTATCATTAATCTACAACCTCCTAGCCTTGGAAGATAGGTGTTATAATAATCCTTACAGAGATATAATTCACATGCTATAAAATTCACCCATTTAAGTGTACAGTTCAGTGGTTTTTAGAATATACAGAATTGTGCAATCATTACAGCAATCTAATTTCAGAATATTTTTATCGTTTCCCAGGAAAACTTATATCCATCTGCAGTCACTTTCCAGCCCAAGGTGTCTATTTATCCACTTTCTGTTTCTAAGGAATTGCTTATTCTGGATATTTTATATACATGGAGTCATACAATATTGGTGTTTGGTTCTTTCACTTAGCATCATGTTTTCTTCTCTTTTTTTTTTTTTTTTTTTGGTCTCACTTTGTTACCCAGGCTGGAGTGCAGTGGCATAAACACAGCTCACTGCAACCTCCACCTTCTGAGCATAAATGATCCTCCTGCCCCAGTCTCCCAAAGTGCAGTGATGACAGGCATGAGCCACCATGCCAGGCTAGCATCATGCTCTCAAGGGTCATACATGCTGTAGGTTCAGGACTTTTTTTTTTTTTTGCCAACTAATATTCCATTATATTGATGTACCACATTGTATTTATCCACTTTTTAGTTGATGGACATATGAGTTTTTTCCACTTTTTGGTTATTATGAATAATACCATTATGAACATTTTTGTGGAAGTTTTTGTATGAACATTTTGGAGACAGGGTTTTGATCTACCACCCAGGCTGAAGTGCAGTGGCATGATGATGGCTCACTACAGCTTTGACCTCCCAGCTTCAAGGGATAATCCCACCTCAGCCTCCTGCATAGCTGGGAGTACAAGGTGCATGCCACCATGCCTGGCTAATTTTTTTTTGTATTTTTAGTAGAGACAGGGTTTTGCCACATTGCCCAGACTGGTCTCCGACTCCTGGGCTCAAGTAATCTGCCCACCTCGCTGTTCCAAAGTCCTTAGATTACAGGTGTGAACCACCATGCCCAGCCTGGACATATATTTTCATTTATCTGGGGAAGTGAATAAAATTGCTGGTTCATCTGGTAACTCTATACCTAAAATTTTGAGGAACTGCTGAAAGCAGTTGTGCCATTTTACATTCCTACCAGAAATTTATTGGGATTCTGATTTCTCCACATTCTTCCTGACACTTGTTATCTTTTTTATTTTAACCATCCTAGTGGGTATGAACTGATACATCATCATGATTTTAATTTGTGTTTTCTTAATGACTAACGATCTAGAGAGTCTTTTCATATATTTATTGGTCACTTGTATATCTACTTTCAGGAAATGTCTATTCAAATCCTTTGCCCATTTAAAAATTGAGTTATCTTTTTATTGTTGAGTTATAAGAGTGCTTTTTTTTTTTTTTTTGAGACGGAGTTTCACTCTTGTTACCCAGGCTGAAGTACAATGGCATGATCTTGGCTCACTGCAACCTCTGCCTCCTGGGTTCAAGCAATTCCCCTGCCTCAGCCTCCCAAGTAGCAAGGACTACAGGCATGTGCCACCATGCCCAGCTAATTTTTGTATTTTTAGTAGAGACAGGGTTTCACCATGTTGACCAGGATGGTCTCGATCTCTTGACCTTGTGATACACCCACCTCAGCCTCCCAAACTGCTGGGATTATAGGTGTGAGCCACCATGCTTAGCCCAAGAGTTCTTTATACATTTTGGATACAAGTTTCTTATCAGATATATGATTTGAAAATATTTCCCTCCATTCTATGGGTTGTCTTCTCACTTAGTTTTTAATTTAATAAACTCCAGTTTATCTGTTTGCTACTTGTACTTCTGATGTCATTTTAAGAAACTATTGCCTAACTCAAGGTCATGAAGATTTACTCCTATGTTTTCTTCTGATGTGGTTTAGCTGTGTTTCCACCCAAATCTCATCTTGAATTATAGCTTCCATAATTCCTACATGTTGTGGGAAGAACCCAGTGGGAGGCAACTGAACCATGAGGGTGAAATTTTTTCATGCTTTTCTTGTGACAGTGGATAAGTCTCATAGCATCCGATGGTTTTAAAAAGGGGAGTTTGCCTGCACATGCTCTCTTGCCTGCTGCCATGTAAGACGTGCCTTTGCTTCTCCTTTGTCTTTGTCTGATTGTGAGGCCTCCCCAAGGCTTTAATTAACTCACATGTGGAATTGTGAGTCACTGAAACCTCTTTCCTTTATAAATTACCCAGTCTCAGGTATGTCTTTATTTGAAGCATGAGAACAGACTATTACATCTTCTGAGAGTTATCGTTTTAATGCTTGCATTTAGGTCTATGATTCATTTGAAGTTAATTTTTGTATTTAGTTTAAGGAAAAGGTCCAACTTTATTCTTCTGCAGTGTGGATACACAGTTATCCCAGCACCTTTGTGGCAAGGACTGTTCTTTCCCCATAAAGTTGTCTTGATGCCCTTGCTGAAAATCACTTCATCATAAACGTGAGGGTCCATTTGTGGACACTTGGTCTATATGTCTGTCCTTATGCCAATATCACACAGTTGTCTGAGGTTTTTCCCTAATCACTAGACTAGCAAGGAACACATGGTTTTAATTACTATAGTTTTACATTTTGTTCTTCTTTCAAGATTGTTTTGGCTACTCTTGGTCCCTTGCATTTTCATATGAATTTAGGTTCACCGTGTGAATCTTCTTAACTTGGAGTGGGTACTACAGAAGATTCCCAATAATGAACTGAGGACCAAAATTATCCAGGAGACTCTAGTGGCAAGGGAAAGATCAGGGAACCAGGTAAGGTCATTTATTGGTACTATGCACATTTTGGAAATTTTCTAAAGAGTCATTACCTCTGGGTATGGGGGGACCCCCTGCTGGTATGCTGGCCTCAGTTCCCTAGTGAGTCAAATGATTGGATTTAGGGGACTGGAATTCCAAGAAAACCAAGGTTCAGGAACAAGGGCAGATCGCCAGACAGCTTTGTGTAGACAAGGGCCTGGAGGAGAGCTGGAGATTATATGTTGCTTCGACATTGACCTAAGGCTTAGATTCTTACTGCTATTCAATAACTCAAGATTTAAAGGAGATGAGTGGGATGGCTCATGCCTGTAATCCCAGCACGTTGTGAGGCTGAGGTGGGACTGAACCCAAAAGTTTGGTATCAGCTTTGGCAACATAGTGAAACCTCATCTCTACTAAAAAAAAAAAAAAAGAAGAAGAAAATTGGCTGGGGTGTGGTGGCACACATCTATAGTCCCAGCTACTCAGGAGGCTGAGGTGGGAGGATCAATTGAGTCAGAGAGGTGGAGGCTGCAGTGAGCCATGACTGTGCTGCTGTACTCCAGCCTGAGTGACAGAGGGAGATCCTATCCCAACAACAAAGAGCAAATAATTTATTTTAAAATAAAAATAGGAACAGCTCCATGTGGGCCAGGCTCTCTCCAACACAGGATAGCTTTCCTGGAAGGAAGGAACACTTCCATTAGTTTTCTTCATGTTCAAATACAGTATGGCCCTAAAAGCCATTAGAAACACTAATCAGAAAGGAACTCTCATAAACTGTTGGAGGACACAAATCGGTATAGTTTTTCTAGAGGAGTATTTGTCAATATACATCAAAACACTCTAAGGAAATTTTCACTCTCCAGTGATTCTCCTTCTGACAACCTATCTATAAGAAACAGAGATTTACTTATGAGGATATCACTTGCATCATTATTTATGATACTGATGAATTAGATGAAACCTATATATCTATCTGTAATAGATTGTAAATCACTGTGCCTCTAACATACAATGCAACCTACAAATGTCTATATGGAAGATTAATACAATAGATTGTCTTTTATCACAATACACTAAGTAAAAGCAGATTATCAAATAGATTATATATAATGTACCAAATTTTATTTTTAAAATATGTACTATAAGGGCCAGGCATGGTGGCTCACACTTGTATTCCTATTACATTGGGAGGCCAAGGTGGGAAGCTCGCTTAAGCCCTAGAGTTCAAAACCAGCCTAGGCAATATAGCGAGACCTTGTCTAAAAACAACAACAACAACAAAAAGAATTAGCCAGGCATGGTGACACACCCCTGTAGTTCCAGCTAAACTTCAGTGAGCCATGATCACACCACAGCACTCTGGGTGGCAGAGTAAGACCCTGTCTCTAAAAAATAATTAGATAAGTAAAAATTAAAATATAGATTATATATACCTGTTAGCAGTGACAAATTCGTACAGGTCTACAGCAATTTCAATCCTTACCTCTTCAGAAGAAAGAATTCAATAGAGGAACATAAGGCAGAGTAGGAGACCCAGGCAACTTCAGAACAGGAGTGAAAGTTTATTTAAAAAGTGTTTAGGCTGGGCTCTGTGGCTCATGCCAGTATTCCCAGCACGTTGGGAGGCTGAGGAGGGCAGATCTTGAGGTCAAGAGGTGGAGACCATCCTGGCCAACATGATGTAACTCTGTCTCTACTAAAAATACAAAAATTAGCTGGGCGTGGTGGTTCACACCTGTAGTCCCAGCTACTCAGGAGGCTGAGGCAGGAGAATCGCTTGAACCCGGGAGGTAGAGGTTGCAGTGAGCCAAGATCGTGCCACTGCAGCCTGGCAGCAGAGAGAGACTCCATCTCACACACACAAAAAAAAGTTTTTAGAGCAGGGATAAAGAGGGCCAAGTGAGTGACTTGAGAGACTCAAGTGCATGGTTTGACTTTCGGCTTGGGGGTTTATACACTGGCATGCTTCTGGGAATTGCCTCCCTTCTCCCCAGGTTCTTCCCTTGGAGTGGGCTGTCCGCATGCACGCAGTAGCCTGCCAGCGGTTGGGAGGGGCCACATGCGCAGTGTGGTTACTGAAGTTGTGCGCATGCTCAGTTGAGGTGCTGGTCCCTTACCTGCCGAGTTTTCCCTAACGGTGGTCATGTGCTAGTTAAACTCAGCCATCTTGCTTCTTAGTGTGCATGCTTGAGCCCACTCACCCAGTTCCTGAGATCTTCAGCAGCTTTAGGTGTTTTTCTCTTGGGAGACTGCGTTTCCCTGGGGCTGGTTGCGACCAATTATTATTTTAGAGAGAGAGTTAACAAACTGCCTGACAATCACCTGATGGTCTCCTGACATTCCTGGTGAGGGAGGGCTGCTCTCTTCTGCCCTGTTCATGTCTACCTACCTACTGTAAAATACATAGAAATCTTTTGAAGAATAGATAATAAAATATTAACAGATTATCTCTGTAAGGCAAAATTGCAGATAACTTCTTTCTCTTTTTGCTTTTCTGCATTTTCCATTTTTTATATTGAACATTTATTATCATTGCAATTAGAAACAAAATATATTGGCTGGGTAAAGTGGCTCACATCTGTAATCCTAGTGCTTTGGGAGGCTGAGGTGAGAAGATTGCTTGAGGGCAGGAACTTGAGACTAGCATGGGATGGGCAACATAGCAAGAGCCCATGTCTACAAAAAAAATACAAAAATTTGCTGGGCATGGTGGCCCACATCGGTAGTCCTAGCTACTCAGGAGGCTGTGTTGGCAGGATCCCTTGAGCCCAGGAGTTTAAGGTTACAGTGAACTATGATTGCACCACTGCACTCCAGCCTGGGCAACAGAGCAAGAGCTCCTCTCAAAAGAAAGAAACAAAACATATTAAATGTTATTTTTGAAAATACTAATCAAACCAAAGCATAAGATAACAGGGAGAAATGTGTGTTGGCCAATCCTAAATCATCTTTGCCACCTTCTGGGAAATCGTGACTGGAGCCAAGCAACTCTTGTATAAAGGCGGGGACATGTGAGGCTCTGAATTTCAGAGGGGAAGAAGGAAGATGCAGTGGCCAGGCATCTTTGATGGCCTCTGGCTCCAAGAAACAGAAAACTAACAACAGTTAATACTTAAAGAAAAGAAACCTGTACATTTTGTTTTGGAAAAGTCAGTATTACAAAGGGGAGATCAAAAAAGAGAAGTTTGCAAAAGCAGGTCCCTTTGTCATTTGGTAATGTGTGACATCTAAATTGGATTGACTTGCTTTGGTTTCTTTAAAACCTGTCATATTCAATTACCAAATGACAAATCAGTCCTTGGATGACTGGCCTGATTCTATCAGTATACAGACTTAAATGGCTCCATCTAGATTTGGGAGTTTATACCAGTTTGATTGCCTTTGCTATTCTCAGTGGATTACTTAATTATGCCACAAACTAAGTAAAGCTAAGAAATTGTCCAAAATGTGCAGGTGTTGATCTGGACGGCTTTATTTGTATTTACCAATGGACAATAGCACAAAGTAATCTGTTTTCTTGAAGCAGCCATTTTTATGCAGAAAATGTCCTAAGTTTGACCCAGGACACTTTGGGAAACTTTGCTTTTAACTGAACAAGACCAGAGACAATAATGGCACCACAGTAGTGCCCTGGAACCAAGAAATGGAGGGCACAGGGGCACTTTATTATGCTTATTGCTTATTTTTGGTTTGTAAACAAGTCTAACACTTTTTTTAAAAAAAGAGACAGGTTATGCTCTGTCACCCAGGCTGAGCGCAGTGGTCCAATCACAGCTTACTACATCCTCCAACTTCCAGGCTCAATGATCTTCCTATCTCAGCCTCCTGAATAGCCAGAAATACAGGTATTCACCACCATGCCTGACCAAGTCTTTTATTTTTATTTTTGGTAGAGACAGAGTCTTGCTATATTGCCAGGACTAGTCTTAAACTCCTGGGCTTAAGTGATCCTTCTACCTTGGCCTCTCAGAGTGCTAGAATTACAGGCATGAGCTACCACACCCCACCTAACACTTTTTTTTTTTTTTTTTTTTTTTGAGACAGAATCTCACTCTGTTGCCTAGGCTGGCTCACTGTGGCCTCGACCTCCCAGGCTCAAATGATCTTCCCACCTTAGCCCCCCAAGTACAGGCATGCACCACCATGCCCAGCTAATCCTTGTATTTTTTGTAGAGACAGGGTTTCATCATGTTGTCCAGGCTGGTCTTGAACTACTAGCTCAAGAGATCTGCCCACCTCAGCCTCCCAAAGTGCTGGCAGGCATGAGCCATTGCATCCAGTCAACACTCTAAAATATAGTGGATTTAATAGGACTGAGCATTCTTAAGCTTGCCTGTGAGTGATTTCCTCAATTTATGGCTATTTTACACACACTATCATACAATAGCTTTAATCTAGTAATCAGATTGTTCTCTGAAGGAAGATTATTATGTCAATGTGCAATAATGAATTCTTGTGAAAAACTGGAGTTTGCAACCATACTGTCTAGAAAGAAGCTTTACTGGAATTGCTGCCTCAAATCGTAAGAGCTTTTTTTTTTTTTACTATTTTTTTTCTTCCTGGATTCAGGTATGAATGAAAGAAAATGAGATCTGGAAACTTGACTCTATTGAATCAAACTCTACTTTCCTCGCTTGTAAATTGGGGTAGGGTAACAACCATGATTATTATGATGACAACAGCCGGCTTTTCTCCTTGCCTCATAAAATTTTTGTGAGGCTTAAATAACAAAATAATACTGGATGCTTTACATTTGCCTGACACTGTATATTAGCCCATTCTCACACTGCTATGAAGAAATACCCAAGACTGGGTAATTTATAAAGGAAAGAGGTTTAATTGACTCACAGTTCTGTATTGCTAGGAGGCCTCAGAACACTTATAGTCATAGCGGAAGGCAAAAGAGAAGCGGACACCTTCTTCACAGGGCAGCAGGGAAGTGAGTGCAAGCAAGGAAGTGCCAGGTGCTTATAAAACCATCAGATCTCGTGAGACTCACTATCATGAGAACAGTATGGGAGAAACCACGCCCATGATCCAATTACCTCCACCTGGTCTCTCCCTTGACAAGTGGGAATTATGGGGATTACAATTCAAGGTGAGATTTGGGCGGGGACACGAAGCCAAATCATATCACACTGCCTAGTTGTTTATAAATCTCACTTCATTTTCATATAAACTATATCTAGTAGCTGCTTTTGTTGTTGCTCTTCACACTGTATAAATGAGAAAAACCAAGGTTCAGAAGGAGAAATACCTTGCTTGAAATTATGCTTTTGTCATGTGGCATAGTTAGAATTCAAACTAAATTCTATCTGATCACAAGGCACTCCTGTTAAAGTGAAAGCTTCCTTTTTCCATTTTAACTTCATATTTCCTTAAACATTATTTGTACAATTATTAGAGTTCATAATATACAATACCAAAATATGTACTCAAGGGTAAAAAGTGAAAATAAGTCTTCCAGCTGGGCGCTGTGGCTCACACCTATAATCCCAGCACTTTGGAAGGCAGAGGCAGTGGATCACCTGCAGTTAGGAGTTCGAGACCAGCCTGGCCAACATGGTGAAACCCCATCTCTACTAAAAATACAATGATTAGTTGGCCGTGGTGTCAGGCACCTGTAATCCCAGCTACTCGGGAGGCTGAGGCGGAGGTTGCAAGGTTGCAGTGAGCTGAGATTGCACCATTGCACTCCAGCGTGAGTGAAAGAGTGAAACTCAGTCTCAAAAAAAAAAAAAAAAAGAAAGAAAAGAAAAAAGCAAATATCAAAAATATTGCTATAATAAATATTCTTATTTTGGGGGAAACATACATGAAGGATAAACTCCTAGTGAGAGAATAGGAACAGGGCTTGGCTTCAGCCTGCCCCACTAGAGCATTCTTTCATGCATCCCCACTGATCACAAAATCTACTCCACTACCTCACTGATGCCATCATGTTTGAACCATGCCTTTTCCTTAAAGAGTTTCAGACCAAACTGAGTGATTCTATTAAGGTTAAAACAAAAAAAAATTTTTTTAATAAAAGAAATTCAGGAAGTAGCCTTAGGAAATAACCAAGGGCTGGGCTGGTAGATCACCTGAGGTCAGGAGTTCGAGACCAACCTGGCCAACAGGGTGAAACCCCGTCTCTACTAAAAATACAAAAATTGGCTGGGTGTGGTGGCACACATCTGTAGTTCCAGCTACTTGGGAGGCAGAGGCAGGAGAATTGCTTGAACCCGAGAGGCGGAGGTTCAAGGCTAATTTTTGTATTTTCAGTAGAGATGAGGTTTCACCATGTTGGCCAGGATGGGCTCGAACTCCTAGCCTCAAGTGATCTGCCCTCCTCGGCTTCCCAAAGTGATGGGAGCCAATTTTCAATCTCTGCTGCCAGAGAGGCCCTTTCTGCTAATAGAATAAAGCTCTTTTGCTCAATTTATTAATGCCTTGTAGTCTTTTGAATATGGCTGACCTGAATTGAACTGAACTCCACCATATTCCTGCTGAGTGGAGGGGTCATTATTGGAATGAGACACTTGCTTCTCAGAGAACAACTTTATTTTGATTTTATTTTTTCCTGAGACAGAATCTCACTCTGTCACCCAGGCTGGAATGCAGTGGTGCCATCTCAGCTCACTGCAAACTCTACCTCCCAGATTCAAGCAGTCCTTCCATCTTAGCCTCCCTAGTAGCTGTGACTACAGGTGCATGCCACCATGCCCAGCTCATGTTTGTATTTTTAGTAGATACAAGGTTTTGCCATTTTGGCCAGGCCAATCTCAAACTCCTGACCTCAGGTGATCTGCTTGCTGGGACTTCCCAGTGTTAGATTACAGGCATGAGCCACTGTGCTTAGCCAGAGAACAACTTTAGAATGAAATAAATATGCAGAAGAACATTACATCAAGGATCTATCCCGAAAATATGTGGGTAATTATGACTATTTCCCAAGCATTCTCACACTGATTACTTGAGAGGATGTTGGTTCTGCATGGTGGAATGTGGAGAAGGGCCAGGATGCCTAGGTTAATATCTGTGGTTTATGCAATAGCAACCCCGCCCACCTTCCCCCCCCACCCCCATGTGATGGTCCCTGGTCTCTCCTGTAGTCTAACCAATGGTTGACCCAAATGTTTATGTTCTTCAGTGTTTTAAATAGATCCATTACTAGACATTGGAGTCTCTGCTCTTCAAAGTGTGGGGTTGCTTGTTCTCCCAGGAACCAAATGCCCTCTATCATTTTGTTGTTGTTGTTGTTTTGAGATGGAATTTCATTCTTGTAGCCCAGGCTGGAGTGCAATGGCGCAATCTCAGCTCACTGTAACCTCTGCCTCCCAGGTTCAAGCAATTCTCCTGCCTCAGCCTCCTGAGTAGCTGGGATTACAGGTATGCACCACCATGCCTGGCTAAATTTTGTATTTTAGTGGAGACAGGGTTTCACCATGTTGGCCAGGCTGGTCTCGAACTCCTGACCTCAAGCGATCCACTGCCTCGGCCTCCCAAAGTACTGAGATTACAGGCGTGAGCCACCACACCCGGCCACCCTCCATCTTAAGAGAGTGTGCTTACAAAGAAATACCCTGCCTACCTTAGGAATAAATGCTACATAAAGGAAAAAAATAGAGCTGAAAAAAAATGGTGCCATTTGAAAAACAAGGAAGGAATGAGATTTAACTGCTGCTCAAAGCTTCTCTCATACAAAATATTTGGTCATGTATTCATAATTTGCTTGACATTTCCAGCAAAGCGAAGAAGGCAATAACAAAGAAACTTCTTACAAGAGAAGAGAAAGACACATGGAGCGCCAGTTTCTGCTGGAACAAGACTCTTCCATTTTGGTTATATACAGTCAAGTTCGTTTTGTGCCTGAGCCAGTGTCTGATAGAAGGCCACGCTCTCTTCTTTGGCCTGGTCAAGTTTCTCTTCCAGGTCATCAATTGTCTCTTCCAGTTTTGCAACCATTCTCTCTGCAAATGTAGCAAGGTTCTCAGCCTCCTTCAGTTTGCCAGACAGACGTTTAATTTTTTCTTCATATTTGTCCTCCTCAGAATACTTTTCAGATGCAGCCTCCGGCGATTTCAAATAATTAATGACATTCTTGAGTTCTTCTGCCAGGTCACCACATTTTCGTTCACACAGCTCCACACGCTCCTCTTCCCTGGCCAGTTCGCCCTCCAGGATGGCCAGCTTTCGAGCTATCTCCTTGTACCTGCGGTCAGCCCCTTCCAGAGTGTGCCTGGCCTCTTGGAGCTGCATTTCCTGAATCTCCATCTTCTCATCCGTCATGGCCCGGTTTTCTGTCACCTGCATTCCTCTCTCACGCTCATCTGCAGCCGTTCCCGCCTCCTCCAGCTTCTGCAGGGCCATGACCACTAGTAGGCGTCGGTTGAGGACAGCCACATCACCTTCAGCTTCCTCGAGTCGCTCGCTCGCGCCCGCCATCCAGCTGCAGTTACAGGCCCTGCGCGCGGTCTTTGCCTCTTCCGCCTGCTGCTGTAGGGCCCGAATCTTGCGTTTCACCATCTGCGGCGGGCGCCAGACTGGGCCGGGGTCAGGCGACAGCTGCAGGGCCACTCCAGTGCCCCCAAGCCTTTGGCGGCGCAGGGGCCTCCCCCGCACCTCTCTCCCGCACTCCACCGCCCCCCCTCCCCCGACTCTGTCGGCTGCCCCCGTCGGGGCTATGACGTCACCCGCCCCTTGCACGGTATCTGTTGATTCTGAGGTTTATTCATACTGACTGTGGAAGTCAATTTTCTTGGGTTTTTCAGGTACAGTTATAGCAACTAAAGTTTTTGCTTCCATCTTTTAAGTTTTTTATTTCTTGTTACTTTTTTCTAATTCCAGTTGAACAGTTACTGTAATGGTAAATGGCCTTGTCTTATTTATATTTATTTATTTATTTTTGACATGGGGTTTCACTCTGTCGCCCAGGCTGGAGCGCAGTGGCACGATCTGAGCAACCTCCACCTCCCAGGCTCAAGCGGTCCTCCCACCTCAGCCTCCCAAGGAGCTGGGACTACAGGCACCCGCCAGGAAGCCTGGCTTAATTTTTTTGTTTTTTTAGTGGAGACAGGCTGGTCTCGAACTCCTGACTTCAGCTGATCCACCTGCCACGGCCTCCCAAAGTGCTGGAATTACAGGCATGAGCCGGTCTTGTCTTATTCTTGATATTAATGAGAATGTTTCCAGGCTTTTACAAAGAAGCACAATTTGGGAGATATATTTTCATTAGCTAAAGAGATATTCATCTATTTCTATTTCACTAAGGGTTAGGAAAATCAAGAATGGATGTCAAATATTATCAAAAGCATTTTCTGTACAAATGAGATTATCATGTAATGTCAAAATTGCATTTGTACATTGTATTTATACAATTTATATGGTGAGTTTTCTTAAGACGAATTTCCTGGTGTTGCATCCCTGCTAAGTTCCTGATTGCTGTGTTAGAGGTCTAACTTTTTTTTTTTTTAGAAGGAGTCTTGCTCTGTCGCCCAGGGTCTTGGCTCACTGCAGCTGCCACCTCCCAGGTTCAAGCAATTCTCCTGCCTCGGCCTCCTGAGTAGCTGAAATTATAGACATGTGCCATTATGCCCCACTAATTTTTGTATTTTTAGTAGAGGAGGCGTTTCACCATGTTGGCCAGGCTGATCTCGAACTCCTGACCTCAGGTGATCGACCCACCTTGACCTCCCAAAATGCTGGGATTACACATGTGAGCCACCGCACCCAGCCAGTGGTGTAGTACTTTTAATATGATGCCAGACCTATGCATCAATAGACTTTTGGAGAGATCCTGCTCCTCTGGGTTGAAACTCGGGCGCCACCAAGATGCTGGCTTACCACTCTTCTCTCATGGATCCTGACACCAAACTCATTGGAAACATGGCACTGTTACCTATCAGAAGTCAATTCAAAGGACCTGCCCCCAGAGAGACAAAAGATACAGATATTGTGGATGAAGCCATCTATTACTTCAAGGCCAATGTCTTCTTCAAGAACTATGAAATTAAGAATGAAGCTGATAGGACCTTGATATATATAACTCTCTACATTTCTGAGTGTCTGAAGAAACTCCAAAAGTGCAATTCCAAAAGCCAAGGTGAGAAAGAGATGTATACACTGGGAATCACTAATTTTCCCATTCCTGGAGAGCCTGGTTTTCCACTTAATGCGATTTACGCCAAACCTGCAAACAAACAGGAAGATGAGGTGATGAGAGCCTATTTACAACAGCTAAGACAAGAGACTGGACTGAGACTTTGTGAGAAAGTTTTCAACCGTCAGAATGATAAACCCAGCAAGTGGTGGACTTGCTTTGTGAAGAGACAGTTCATGAACAAGAGTCTTTCAGGACCTGGACAGTGAAGGGAGCTCGGGCAGCCACCATCTCCAGATTCCTGGGCAGCATTTTCCAGCAAGATATACACAATCTTTTGCCTTTATTTCATAAAGTTTTATACAGAAGAGAGAAGAGCATGTCTTTACTTGAGAAACTCTTGATCAAGAATTCGGGTAGGAGAAAAGAAAGTGTGTTATCAAGGGTGATTTGAAATTTTCTGCAGTATTAAGCTGGCGCTTAATAAGAATACGTAATAATAAAGAAATTTCTAACAAAAAAAAAATAGACTTTTGGATTGATATCTGTAAGCAAGATTGGCAGCTGTTTCTGTTTGCAGCATTTTGGTCAGGTTTGGCACCTTTTCTTCCTCCTCTATACTTTGGAACTGTTTAAATGTAAAGCCCAAACCCTTGATCACTATGTAAGACTGGCTGCATCCCCAGTGTGCATGTAAACATTTAGTAAATTCCATGTGCTTTACAAATGTTAACTGTCAGATACAGCAGTATCCCAAATGTCCTGGTACAAGTGATCGTGAGAGGAGAGTATTAAGATCAAGGAGGTGAGAGTTGCCTTGATTGCCCTAGAGCTGCAGGTACCATTTCCCTCTCTTGCCCCCTTTTTAAATCCACCATGAAAAACCAGATTTCTGTTCCCATGAGATTATGAATGGAAATCAGAGCTCCCTTCATACATTGTAGATGAGAGTGGGGAAGGGGCCTTGGAAGCCCCAATCAGCCTCCTCCATTCTAGGAAGACAGAGACAGGGCCCCAGAGGTGATGGAACGGCCTGAAAGTGTACTGCGTGGCTGTGACATATTTCAAACCCTGGCACACCACTCCAGCCTTACGTTCTTTCTGTGGCTCTTAGCTGCCTCTCTTGCAACAACAGAAGTAAAAATTTCTCAGCGGCCCCAGCAATGGACCCCGATTCCCCAGTCAGATTTCCCAGACTCATCTCACTTAGGGATGGTGCACCGTCTGAATAGGCCCCGGGCCACAGCATGGGGCATAGTAGAAGGAAGGAGGGTGATTTATCCTTGTATCTCACGCAGGCTGGTCCAGTTTTGTCTTGTCCTTCACAGAGGGGCTTTGGCTGCATCCAATGCCATGAACAGTTTCTTCTGAACTTTGTCTGCAGAGACATGAATCATGACTGTTACCTGGAAATGCTCTGGAAGTGCTCATAATGCGTGACAGAAAGTGGCCTAGAAAAGCCTCCCAGGAGGCCGAGGCAGACAGACCACTTGAGCCCAGGAGTTCGAGACCAGCCTGGGCAACACAGGGTATCTACAAAAAACACACACAAAATTAGCTGGGCATGGTGGCACACAGCTATAGTCCCAGCTAGTGGGAGACTGAAGTGGGAAGATCACCTGAACCCAGGGAGGTCAAGGCTGGTACCAGCCATGATCACGCCACTGCACGCCAGCCTGGGCGACAGAATGAGACTCCATCTCAAAATAAAATAAAAGGCTCCCAAGGTCAAAGACATGTTAAGCAATGCATTGCTCTGCTCCTGATGGAACTCCTATTCTTGATTTTGCTGCAAATACCAAGGACTTTGCTATAGGAAAAATGAAGGCTGGGTCAGATGTGTCCTCAGCCTCCTGGCTGAATTGGTTTGTTCTCCTGTAGAGGTGAGGAGAATCTGGGTGGCAGGGATTCTGACTTATTCCACATTACCTGGCAAAGCAACTGTTGAGGGGAAATGCTTAATCCTCACTCTAGTGGGGATCTTCCTTGTCAGCTTCACCCACTCTCCTGCATGTTTTGTGGAAATGGCAAACACACTTTGTTGAGCAATACAAACACTGGCTTCCTATAGCTGCACCTCTGAGAATGTGCTTGAGATAACCCAGCTACCACAATTTCATTTTTGAATTTCAAATACAAATTATATCAGAGCTAAGAGTCCCCTGTGGGAATTTTGGTCCATTTTCAAAGTGGAAAAATACAAGTCTGCAAGATGAAATAACTTGCTTGAGGCCACACAGTCAAGTACTGGCCGGCTGCAGATGAGAAGCCAGCATGGAACCCATGTGCCCTCCATTCCATTAAGGCTCGCTCTTGGGCAAGCACTTCATATATAAAATTTGGGATTCAGAAGCTCCTCTCCATTTTTAAACTGAAACGAAAGGCCTTGAGTTCTTAAAGGCCTCTCTGCTTATCAGTGTCATTGGACATAATTCTGATCTATGAAAGCAAAACCACAATGAATGGCCCTTTGCATGATGTTCTACGAAGCACCCCAGAGAAAACAAAGCATCAGGTGGAAGCTAGACGTTTTGTAAAACCACATCTACGTCTAACTTTTCCCTCTTCCCTGTCCTGCTTCTCTCATCCACATATATTCAAGTTTCTCCTGACTGCATTGACTTGACCAATCCCTCATACAAATGCCTGTTTTAGGCTCTGCAACTAGGAAACATGCCCTGAAACTACTCCTAACTGCTCTCCCTGAATCCACACTTGACTGCTCCAATCTGTCCTCCACATCACAAATGTGATCATTCTTTACACAGGCTTAGACCCTGGAAATAACTCCCATTGCTATTGGGATAAACAGGAAACATTACTATGGCCTCCAAGGTCTTTGGAAGAGGTCTGGCTGCTGACCTCCCACTGCTCAGCCCTTAGTCACACTGGCTTTCTTTCTCCCTCTCTTATTCCCAGCTTTCTTCTGCCTCAGGGCCTTTGCACATCTGGTTGTCCTGCTTAGTCTATTTTTCTCTGCCATCATCTCATACCACTGATCCCTACTCACTCTTCAGCTCTTAGCTCAATCACTGCCCATGCAGGAATGTACCCAGTGGGCCTTGGGTTAGAAGTCCCTCCCTGGCTCACATTAGTTCCTGCCACATCCTCCCATAGCAGTGTGTACCTCCTCTCTTAGCATTTCATTGTATTGCTTGTTTTAATGATCTTTGCATTAGATAATAAGCTCCATGAAGGCAAGGACTGTATTATTATAAATCTTCATTTTTATTAACATGCTGACAGATTATTAATAAGTAAATTTATTTTAATTTCTTTTATTGTGCTCCTGTAATATTCCAAGTGTGTACTAGTTGTTAGCAATACACACTGTGGGAAATTGACACTGTCCTGGCCCTCTAGGAGTATATAGTGTAGCGAAGAATATAGAAGTAAGTTAAATATACTTCATTTATACTTCATTGTCACAACAGTGACAGGTGCTATGAAAGAAAATTGCAAGGTATTATTATTGCTATTTCTTTTTTGAGACAGAGTCTTGCTCTGTTGCCCAGGCTTGAGTGCAGTGGTGCTGTCACAGCTCACTGCAGCCTCAACCTCGTAGGCTCAAGCAGTCCTCCCACCTGAGCCTCCTGAGTAGCTTGGACTACAGGCATGCTCCACCAAACCCAGATAACTTTTTTGGTATTTTTTGTAGAGATGGGGTTTTACCATGTTGCCCAAGGTGGTCTCGAACTCCTGGGCTCAAGCAAGACTGCCCACCACAGCCTCCTGAAGTGCTAGGATTACGGACATGCACCACTGCATGTGGCCAGTATTACTATTTTTAAAAGACAATGATTTTCATTGCCTGTATCAGAAGATAATTTGTAGGGTATTGTCTGACTCATCATTTTATTCCCTTTACCAAGCAAGTCTGATACACAACGAATGCGCAATAAAAATTTTGAAGGATTACATAAACAACCTGGCTATGTCTTCTGTCTCTTTCCCAGGTAAACATCTAGTCTTCTGAGAGTCCATCAAAATGAATAGGACATTTTACTGTACCTCCTCAGTAAGAAGAATGATTTTAAATAGCTCAACTGATTGCAAGGAAATCTGTGAGAAGTAACTGCAAAACCATGGCAACACTCCTGCCTTAGAGTTTCTAAAGGAACCAGCTCTCCCAGAGCTTAAGAAGGTTAAACAGGTTATTATGAATTAAAGGTTTGCTATAATTTACATATTTATGATATAGTTGAGTGGTAGTTTTCTTTCATTTATCCGTATTTGGGGAAACTTTATATAAACAATGTTAATTTTACAGAGCTCAAAGTATAATTTTCAGATTCTGAGTTGTGGTGTTTTTATACGTTGATGTATTTTTCTTCTGTCCAGCTGGTGTTTAATGCTCAATTGTATTCTAAGGACCGGTGACTGTGCTATAGTTGTTGTTCAAGACATTTAACAACACCCACGATTAATATATAATGTATTTGCTTTAGAATCCTTTATCCAGAGCCAATTTCAAACAACAAAATTGTCTTTATGTGAAAACATAATCAGCTTTTTATAATGTATTGATCTATGGCATGCTATCTGGGAAGGCATTGTGGCTAAAGTGGCTAAGGCCAGGCACAGTGGCTCACGCCTATAATCCTAGCACTCTGAGAGGCTGGGGTAAAAGGATCACTTGCGTCTGGGCATGGTGGCTCATGCCTGTAATCCCAGCACTTTGGGAGGCCGAGGTGGGCAGATCACTAGGTCAAGAGATCGAGACCCAACATGGTGAAATCCCATCTCTACTAAAAATACAAAAACTAGCTGGGTGCGGTGGCACACACCTGTAGTCCCAGCTACTTAGGAGGCTGAGGCAGGAGAATCGCTTGAACCCAGGAGGTGGAGGTTGCAGTGAGCCGAGATTGTGCCACTGCAATCCAGCCTGATGACAGAGCAAGACTCCATCTCAAAAAAAAAAAAAAGGATCACTTGCAGCCAGGAATTTAAGACCAGCCAGGGCAACACAGTCAGACTCCATCTCTACAAAAAAAACTTAGCCAGGTGTAGTTGTTCATGCCTGTAGTCCCAGCTTCTTGGGAGTCTGAGGTGGGAGGATCACTTGAACCCAGGAGTTCCAGGCTAAAGTGAGCTATGATTATACCACTTCATTCTAGCCTGGGTGCCAAAGCAAGACCTTAACTCTTAAAAAAAAGAGAGAAAAAGAAGAGGAAAAAAAATGGCTGACTATATAAGTGCTATATAAGTGTGAATGATCTATAGAGAAAATGCATGCGTTTTAACCACTCCCAGATAAACGTATGTTCAGAAACATATGTGTGTGTGTAAAAAATATATCACTTAGCTCATCTGAAATATATATTGAAAACATTTAGGTTGGCACAGTGACTCATGCCTGTAATCCTAGAACTTTGGGAGGCCAAGGTGAGCAGATCACCTAAGGTCAGGAGTTCAAGACCAACCTGGCACAAAGTGAAACCTCATCTCTACTAAAAATACAAAAATTAGCTGGGTGTGGTGGTGGGTGCCTGTAATCCCAGTTACTTGGTAAGCTGAGGTAAGAGGATCACTGGAACCCAGGAGGTAGAGGCTGCAGTGAGCCAAGATTATGCCACTGCGCTCCAGCCTGGGTGACAGAGCAAGATCTTGTTGAAAGAAAAGAAGAAAGGAAGGAAGGAAGGAAGGAAGGAGGGAAGGAGGGAAGGAGGGAAGGAGGGAAGGAGGGAAGGAGGGAAGGAGGGAGGGAAGGAGGGAAGGAGGGAAGGAGGGAAGGAGGGAGGGGAGGGAGGGAGGGTGGTAAGGAAGAGAAAAGAAAGAAAGAGAAAGAAAGAAGGAAGGAAGGAAGGAAGGAAGGAAGGAAGGAAGGAAGGAAGGAAGGAAGGAAGGAAGGAAGGAAAGAGAAAGGAAAAGAAAAGAAAAGAAAAGAAAAGAAAGAGAGCAAGCAAGCCCACCCAGGCATGGTGTATAATCCCAGTACTTTGGGAGGCCAAGGCATATGGATCACCTGAGGTCAGGAGTTTGAGACCAGCTTAGCCAACAAGGTGAAACCTCATCTCTACTAAAAATACAAAAATTAGCCAGGCATGGTGGCGGGTGCCTCTAATCCCAGCTACTCAGGAGGCTGAAGCAGGAGAATCACTTGAACCCAGGAGGCAGAGGTTGCAGTGAGCTGAGTTCATACCCCTGCATTTCAGCCTGGGCAACAGAGCAAGACCCCGTCTCACACACACACACACACACACACACACACACACACACACACAGTTTACTTCACTTTTCTTTTTCTTTATTTTTTTAAACAGCTCCTTGTGGAGCAGGGCTAATTCATAAACAGTATGCACAGAGTTGGCCTTAAAATTTTCATTTAACAAACCCATCAGGGAGAGGAATGTCTCATTCTCATGCTGGAAACACTCCTTGAAGAGAGGGTGGAGCAGGTAAATTGCAGGGAGCAGAGGCAAGGATATATGTGGAGTCAAAGAGCTGAGCCGATGTGAGAAAACAGCAGCCCCCACATTCAGAATTGAATCATCTTACATCAGGATTTCAAGATCTGGGCTTCCCTCCTGTCAGATTTATATAGAGTTCATTTTCCTGTAAGCTTCTCCACCCTAGGATGGAATCATAAACATAGTAGTAGTATTATATTATAGCATAGGATACCAAATGCTGTATAGTATTATACTATAGTACTAACATTGTTATTTGGATGCTATGATAGTAATCATAGCAACAAGTACTATTATGGAGCATTTATAATGTTGGATACTATGTAAATGTTTTGCATACTGTATTATTTCACCTTCATTCTGAGGTTTGGTTTTTAGCCCCTTATTTTTTAGATGAGGAGAATGCATCTTAGAAAAGTTAATTTGTCAGGCTAGGCACAGTGGCTCACGCCTGTAATCTCAGCACTTTGGGAGGCTGCAGTGGGTGGATCACCTGAGGTTGGCAGCTTGAGACCAGCCTGACCAACATGGAGAAATCCCATCTCTACTAAAAATATAAAATTAGCTGGGCATGGTGGCGCATGCCTGTAATCTCAGCTACTCAGGAGACTGAGGCAGGAGAATTGCTTGGGAGGCAGAGGTGAGCCAAGATCATGCCATTGCACTCCAGCCTGGGCAACAGGCGAGACTCTGTCTCAGAAAAAAAAAAAAAGAAGAAGTTTCATTGACTCACAGTTCCACATGGCAGGGGAGACCTCAGGAAACTTACAATCATGGTGGAAGGCAAATGGGAAGCAAGGCACATCTTACATAGTGGCAGGAGAGAGAGAGAGAGACCAAAAGAGGAAGTGCTACACTTAAAAATCATCAGATGTCATGAGAACTTATTATCACAAGAACAGCAAGGGGGAAATTAGCCCCCATGATCCAATCACCTCCCCTCACATGTGTTACCATTTGACATAAGATTTGGGTAGGGACACAGAACCAAACCATATTGGGTGGGATATTCAGATATGTGAGAGGGCGATAGGGGAAAATAGCCATTCATGCCTTCCTCTGGCTCAGTGAATCTGTGTTTTTACATAAGAAATGTAGACAACAGGGCAGAGGAAACAATGAGATAAACATTTGTCTCAGGTAGGCACGGTGATGACTTGGAGCTCTGTCCTGTGTCTCCCATCTGTGAAGATAAGCTATCAATTTCCATTGCCATTGTGAACTTAAACAGAAACACTCTAGGGTAAAGACCTTGGGACCCATCAGGAATGTTCTTGTGGGCAAAGTGTGAGGGAGGTATGTAGCTGTTCATCTTTGTAGCCATCTTATTTAAGAACCAAAATGGAAGGCAGTGCCAAGCTTGACGTTTCCCTTTGGCTTAGTGAATTTGGGGTCCCAAGATTCATTTTCCTTTCACACCATGTATACTAATTTTAAAAATCTGTGAACAATCTAACTTCTAATAATTGGGTAACAGTTTGCATAATTATAATAAACCAATGTTAGGAAAACTTAAGCAACTATGAAAATAATAATTATGAATACTATGTAGAAATGTCAGAAATGTTCATAAATTTTAGAAGAAATCAGTATGCAAAATTACTGGGCTGGGCATGGTGGCTCACACCTGTAATTGCAGCAATTCATGAGGCTGAGGTGGGCAGATTGCTGGAGTTCAAGACCAGTTTGGGCAACATCCTGAGACCCTGTCTCTAATTTTTTAAAAAAAAAGAAAGAAAAGAAAAAATTTCTATGTACTTTAAATAGAACTGTGTAAAATATATGTGTATACGGACAATATCTGGGAGATGGTACCTAAAAATAAAAGTAAATGTGTTAGTGTATTGCAGCATATGCTTAGGGGTATGGGCTCTAGAACTAAGCAGACTGAATTCAAATCTTATCTCCAACACTTTCTTCTTTGGGCAAATTAGTTAACTCTTTTTTTTTTTTTTTTTTGAGACAAGGTCTCTCTCTGTCACTCAAGCTGGAGTGTGATGTGATCTCGGCTCACTGAAGCCTCAACCTTCCAGGCTCAGGTGATTCTCCCACCTCAGCCTCCTGAGTAGCTGAGACTACAGACACACACCACCATGTCCAGCTAATTATTTATTTATTTATTTGTATTTTTTATTAGAGACAGGTTCTCACCATGTTGACCAGCCTGATCTCGAACTCCTGGACTCAAGCCATCTGCCCGAGTCAGCCTCCCAAAGTGCTGGGATTACAGGGGTGAGCCACTGATGCCGGCCTATTTAATTTCGATTGCCTCAATAACTTCATCTGAAGAATGAAAACAAAAAATAGTTTCTTCCTCATGGGACCATTGTGTTGACTAAATATGATCAGGCATGCAACATCCTTAGTAGAGTATCTGACACATAAAAGGTACTCATAAATGTTAGCTGTCATAATAATAATAATGAAAATTGTTATTTTCTCAAAATCCTGAGATCAAATGATCCCAAATTCCAAAGTACTGGGACTATAGGCATGAGCCACCTCCTGGCCTGAAAATTATTAGATGAAATTGCAGAAGTATTTTTCTCTTCAATTTTTTTTTTTAGAGATGGGAGCTCACTATATCCGCCAAGCTGGTCTCAAACTCCTGGCCTCATGTGATCCTCCCACTTCAGCCTGCCAAAGTGCTGGTTATTATACATGTGAGCCATTGTGCCTAGCCCTACCTCCTTCTTAAAAGTGATATAGTCTCACTCTGCCACCCAGGCTGGAGTGCAGTGGTGTGACCCTAACTTACTGCTGCCTTCAGCTTCTGGACTCCA